CGCAACATGGAATCATTTGATCCCTCTATAAACGATTATTTAATGTGTTTGTAATAAACTGTAATGATTACTTAATGCCCGGTATTTTATTTATTCAACATTGCCTCATATCCATGAACTAGGGCTAGGTACCTAGACACCTATAAACAGCTATTTACATCACACGTGCCAATTAACTAAGGGTTCTCGCGGAGAAAGGTGTACACTAAAACAGCAGTCTAGTTTCATGTATAGCTTTTATAATTTCCATCATTTACTTTACGAGTCTTCAGCCTGGCTTCTAACGCTGTTAAAGCTTGTCGGACATATTCCTTTTCAAAAATTGCGAGGCTCACTTGTAGACATCGTCTCGCTAAGCTCATGTCACCCGTAGACTGAAGAAAAATCGAACTGTTAGTAAGGGGGCTCGACAAAAAAACGGGCGGAATATAAAACTTTTGCAAGCTATGTTTTTTTAAAACTACATATGTATGTAGGTAACACTCTATGCTAACTAGGAAACGTCTTAAAAAATATGTTTATAAAACGTACCAAAGCTACATGTGCTAGATTAAACCAAATATCGGCCTTAGAACTCGGACTTGTAGAAAAGAAGAGAGCTTGTCGGAAACACGGTAAAATGAGGTCCCATTGGCTGCAGTAGAGGCAGCAAAGCCCGAGGTTATTGTAAATCTCGGAACTAGGAGGAGTTGTAGCCAGCAAACGTCTGAAATATTATGTTAAATAGGAACAAATGTTTTAAATAATAGATGAATTATTAAAAAAAAACCTCATGAACCTTTTACCTGTAATATCGCATTGCTATTTCGGGTTGGTCATTGTAGAAGTTGTACATAGCAATATTCGCAACGGCCTCCATGTTAAAGGGGTCCTGTATAGCTACAATTCTAAAATCTTTCACTGCCAAATCAGAGCTTCCTATTTGCTCGTTGATCCTAGCTGTTTCCATTAATAAAGGGGTGCTGTCATGGAATACTAAAAGTCCTTGCTTACATATGTCCAGTGCCGATATAGGCTGGTCAAGAGCTACGTACATAGCAATTAATCGAAGATAAACGCTTATATGCTTATTTTGCTTGAGCGCACGACGTAGACAATCATCCGCCTGTCTGAACATTCCAAGTGTGTAGTAGCATCTAGACAGCGAATGATGCCACCACCAGTCAGATGTATTGCCACTCTTTTGAGCTTGAAACGCTATGTCCATAGCCTGATGATGTTAAGAAAAATGTATTAACAAAGTTATTCGAAAATTGAGATGTTAGCTCTAGATTACAACTTTATTATTCAAATGTTAAATTTCATAACATTGTTAAAATAGTACATTTTTAAGAACATAGAAGAAAGTTGCGGTCGAGATCATTTAGCATATAGTTATATAAGCAATCGTATTGAGCTTAGGACAATCTAACTTTGTTATAAATTATATCGCTCACCTTTCGTACATCTCCTTCACAGTAATACACATATTCAAATAAAGTTTTAGCAGCTGGTGTAAACGTTGTCTCTTCCTTGGGTAAGAACCTGAGGGATATGGGCATGTTGAGCGGAGGACCGCCGGCAAGGGCGGTGGCAGCTCGCGAGGCGCGCCCCGCCGACCGCAGTGCCGTCCTCGCGCTCTGAGCTCGCGCTGTCAACCCACTGCCTCCAGGTTTCATAGTGGCTGCTGTGCTCACTCTTTTCTAAATCGTAAATAATATTGCAACAAGACTTGTTAAGTACAAAAAATATTGAGTCTGCAGTCACAATGGTACACATGAAATAATAGAACTTACGTTTGTTGATGACTGATGTGCTGTCCGAATTTGCTTATCAAATGTTGTACCAGGTCTTGGTGTTTTCGCCACGGCGGTAGAAGCTAACTCATCTTGATAAGAGAAGTAGTCAACCTCATCGTAAGCGTTTGCAGCGACTTTCACTTGTATCGTCATCGCGCGCATCCGAATAAACTCTATCATACGATCATTCTTATCTTTTAACACTTCCTCACATAGCTTAAGACATTCATCATACTGTTTAGTTTTATAAAGATGTAATATTCTATAGTCATCAGGTATGTCCATTTCGTTTCTGCACAATAGTATTAAATTGCTAGGCAACGAAATATATAAACATAAAATCCCTCAAAGAATACCTTTGACTGGTTCGAACATACATAAGTACCAAACTACATTACCAGTTCAGGGGTGAAAGGTGTTTTTCCTTCAGGTTAACTCTCTTTATCTCCTCTTCACAATAAACCATTAACCGCATAATTACGTAAATACACAAATACAAAATGATAAACAAAAAGTGTCGGAAGTTTTTTTTTTACTTCACAGTAATATTTCTCTCAGTTCGTTTATCTTCTTTTGCGTTTGGACCATTGAGTTAGAAGTGTTGTAGATTTAGCATAATGTATTTAACGACACGTTAATAATTGCTATTTGTATCTCTACATTTGTCAGGAGTTTCAAACATTTTCTGTTTTATTTTTAAAATGTTAACGAAATGTTAAGAAAAAAAACTAACAAACGATTTGCCGACGAGATAACAATCCGATAATCTTGCATTAAAAATAACATTTTTCTTATATGACAGTTAGGCAACGAAATAAACTGTATAACACTGTACAGTCAGCGTCATATAGATCGTCACAGACAAGATATGCAAATATATAGGTACATCAAAAGTAATCAATTTTATCGGTACAACAAAAGTCCTCAAAATAATAGATACATTCACCCTGCTCAAATACATCGGTACATACACAGCGTCAAATATATGAGTACATGCAAGATGCTCATAAATATCGTAGCAGCCACAGCGTCATAAGTAACGAAGCAGTCAAGGTGCGCAAAAATATCGGTACATTTGACAATATTGAACTCTATCTCTATATACTTGTGATACAATTTGGAATAAACTACTTCTGTTACATTCATTTGACACTTTGCATCAAACCATTTTTCAAAATTTACTAAAAGTGTTCGACGCGGATGACAGATATTAGGTAGATAAAACCAACATCAAATTTAAGTTTGTCATCATATATGCTAGTTTGGTCTCGTGGCCTTACCGTTCGCCGCCGTTGGTACGTAAGTTCGGCGGTTCAAATCCCAAGCAACTATTTTTTTTTGATATTTAAACTTTTTAATTTTAATATCGAAGCACATGTAATTAAACTCTATCGCCGTAGTTATTAGGTACTTTTTGATATTGCCTTGGACTAATGAGTTTGAACGCTATAGTACTTTTCTATTTCAAACAAAAATGAAGGAGATAAAGTGATGCTATTGACATGTAATTTGTTTATTACTCATGTTTGTTAAACTTGTACCGGTAAAAATAACACTTTTACTTTTACCTTTTACTGATACTGATTATATTTAAGAAACAAAGAAAAAAAACAATGTCAATATCCAAACTACATCAAATTTTTGGTCGATTGCAATAAACATTCCAGTGTGCGTGGGCGCGCACACATATGTAGATAACACTTGTACGTATAGTTTCCGCGCGTACCATTCTTAAAACCCGCAAAGACAATCCACGCTCCGCCCACTCACTTCAACCACGATGGTCTGACTTAATTGTTGTTAACTTTATTTAAATTTCTTTCTACCCGACAGCGAAGATTATAAAAAAAATTGTCGAGCAAAATTTTACATTACCATTTTTTTACTGGTTATGAAAAAATAACCACGTGATTGATAAAATGAAAAAAAAGTAGCCTGAGATTCGAACCGGTAAACTTACATATTACGGCAAACATACTAGAATACTGCGCCAAACTAGTATATATTGTGACAAGGCAAAATTTGATATTAGTTATTACGTATCTGTCATATTCGGCGTGACAAACTTTTATAATATATTTAAGCGTTATGACAGGAGAAGAAAAATATTGGGTTGCCCAGTAAGTTCGTGCCGCTTTATAAGGAAAATTGAAACCCTGTCCTCTTAAATTTTTGGAAATGGTTTTAAATTATATTGGTACGACTCTATACCTAAAATGTCTTTTATTTTTGGCTAAAATTTTAAAAATTAGTTTTTATCTCAACCAATGAAATGAAATTATTCGCAATATAGAAATTTTTGTGACGTTTGATAATGGTGGAAATCCGAAAATGAATCCACTTCAGCTGCAGTCTATTGTAAGCTTTATATCGAAAATCAGAACGAACTTTCCGGACAACCTATAATGTTAATACAAAGTGTCAAATGAATGTAACAGAAGGAGTTTATTCCAAATTGTATCACAAGTATATAGAGATAGAGTTCAATTTTGTCAAATGTACCGATATTTTTGCGCACCTTGACTGCTTCGTTACTTATGTCGCTGTGGCTGCTACGATATTTATGAGCATCTTGCATGTACTCATATATTTGACGCTGTGTTTGTACCGATGTATTTGAGCAGGATGAATGTATCTATTATTTTGAGGACTTTTGTTGTACCGATATAATTGATTACTTTTGATGTACCTATATATTTGCATATCTTGTCTGTGACGATCTATATGACGCTGACTGTACGCTGGATATTATTGTGTATTTCCATAACATATTGTAGTTACTTAGTTGTTTAGATTAATACGAGATTATCGCATACGTAATCATAATTCTCAATCAAAAGTGAAGGAAAATGTTGACGACTCCTGCAAAAGCTTCCTATATAAACTAAAGGAAAACATATTTTTTTTATTCAAGGCAAAGCAGTCAAAGCAAATATCAAACATGCTTCTAAGGAGTTTTATGCTGCTGATATCTTTGAGCTATGTTTTGGCTGCAGATTCCTGGAGGAAACCTGGATGCCACAGAATAGGTACGATTT